TAAGGCACATTATGGAAAAAGCCACGAGACCCCTTTGGGGAAGTCAGCATGGTGAGGTGTCCATGCAGCCACACTGAAGTGTCTGTGTGCTAATGCATGCAGCATGGGCAATCAACATGAGCAACTGGAGATCTTGTTGGGATCATGGAGATGGGATGAGGCTCCCATGACTGGAGTCCTGCCATGAAGGGACACAGGCTCTTTAGGAAGGACAGGCTGGGAAGACAAGCAGGTAGAGTTGTCCTTGATGTGAGAGAATAGCTGGAATGCATGGAGCTCTGCCTAGGAATGGATGATGAGCCATCTGAGAGCTTATGGGTAAGGACTTCAGAGCAGACAGGTATGGGTGACATTGTATTGGGTGTCTGCTATAGGCTGCCTGACCAGGAACAACAAGCAGATGAGGCCTTCTACAGACAGCTCGGAGCAGCCTTGCACTCACAGGCCCTGGTGCTCATGGGGGACTTCAGCCACCCTAATCTCTGTTGGAGGGACAATACAGTAGGACATAAGGAATCCAGGAAGTTCCTGGAGATCATCAGTGACAACTTCCTGGCCTAAGTGACAGCAAACAAAGAGGGATGCTCTGCTTGACCTCATGGTTGCAAACAAGAAAAGGCTCTTTGGGGATCTGAAGGCCAAAGGCAGCCTTGGCTGCAGTGTCCATGAGGTGGTGGAGTAGAGGATCCTGGGAGAAGGGAGCAGGACAGAAAGCAAGATCACAATCATGGACTTCAAAACAGACTTTGGCCTCCTCAGGGATCTGCTTCAAAGAGTCCAATGGGATAAGGTTAGGAGGGAAGAGGGACCCAAGAAAGCTGATTGATATTCAGGGATCACCACCTCCAAGTTCAAGAGCAGTCTGTCCCAGTGAGCAGGTCAGGCAAAAGATGCCTGGAGGCCTGCATGGATAACAAGGAGCTCCTGCCAAGCTCAAAACACAGAAAGGAAGCATACAGAAGGTGGAAGCAGGGAGAGGTAACCTGGAAGCAATACAGAGACTCTATATGAGCATGCAGGGATGGGGGTTAGGAAAGCCAAAGCACAGCTGGGGTGGATCGTGTGAGGGATGTCAATGACAACAGAAGGATTTACTAAGTACATAGGTGATGAAAGGAAGAGTAAGGAGAATGTGGGCCCATTGCTGGAAGGGACAGTCGTCCTGGTGACAACAGGACATGTACATATAAAGGCTGAAGCACTGAATGCCACCTTCACCTCAGCCTTTGCTAGCGAGATCGGCCTCCGGGAATCCCAGACCCCAGAGAGTAGGGGGGAGCAAGGAGGATGTACCCTTGGTGGAAAGGGATCAGGTATGGGAATACTTAAGCAAACTGGATGTGGATTATGGCCTTGAGGGGATGCAGCCATGAGTGTGGAGGGAGCTGGCTAATATCTTCATGAGGCCACTTGTGACAATCTTTGAATGACTGTGGTGACTGGGAGAGGTGCTTGAGGACTGAAGGAAAACAAATGACACTCCAATCTGCAAGAAGGTCCAGAAGGAGGAGCCAGGGAACTACAGGCCAGCCAGCCTCACCTAGGTCCCTGGGGTGCTGTGCCCAGTTCTGGGCTCCCTGGTACAATAGAGTAGAAGAGAGACCTGGACATACTAGAGAGTCCAATAAAGGGCTACTAAGGTGATTAAGGGACTGGAGCATGTCTCCCGTGAGGAGAGGCTGAGAGCTGGAGCTGTTCAGCCTGGAGCCTCAGGGGGATCTCAGCAGTGTCTATAAACACCTGCTGGGAAGGCACAAAGAGGATGGAGCCGGCTCTCTCCAGTGGTGCCCAGTGACAGGCCCACAGGCAAAGGACAAAAGCCATCTGGACTGCTACAACTGTCAGACCAACTTCAGATAGATGATGTCATGATCTTTTATCTGCTGTTTTGCAGTCTTTTGAGAATTAAAAGCCCAAATGAAAATACTTATTTTTAGTCTCTTGTATTAATCTGCACTTCTTGTCAGCCATGTGCTATTTGTGTAGTCAGATGGCGAGTGTGAGGTGGTGGATTCCATGGGCATAACTGTGGTCCTGATGCCTCTGACCAGTGTTTCACAGTGCAGGCTTCCTTTGGATAGGTACCTTTTGCAGGTAACATACAAGCTATCCATGACAAAAATTATTTAAGTTTAACCATGAAGCATATTGGAGATGTAGTTCTGAAAAAATCCATGAGATTAACATCACGAACCGCTGAGCAGTATGTTCCCCAGCAACTGATGAGTGTGTAGTTTTGGTTTGAGAGCACTACGTGAAGCCTTTCTTAAAGGAAATCTCCTGTATGTGTGCCAGGCATGTTTTTACAGAGATGTTGGGTAGCATGAAAATGTTAGATATGTGAAAATCATCTTGGGGTTTTGGGGTTTTTTACTGGAATACCATCTGCTGTTTTCTTGCCACGTAGTTTGCATTACCTTACATTTATTTAGCTGATGAATACTTCAGAAAAGTGCTTGTTTGCTGCTTTGGGTCCTCTCAGAATCTTCCAAAACCGAGGTGAACAAAGAGATGTTAAATGAACATTTAATCTCATGATGTAAGCATAATAGATGATCAGTCCTCCAGGTTTTTAGCTCTCCCTCCTCTTCTGCACATGCACACAGTGATTTGCTTTATTTCCTTACCTATAGTAACAGTATTTCAAAGATCTAGGAGACACTCCAAACTGTGGCTCATCCCAGATGAGAACAGTTTCTCTGGTGTTATTTGGGATCTGGACAGGCTGGAGCAATGGGCTGAGGTCATTTGTATGAGGGTTAACAAGGCAACGTGCTGGGTCCTGCACTTGGGTCACAACAACCCCAGGCAACGCAACAGGCCTGGGGAGGAGGGAGAAAAGGACCTGGGGGTGTTGGTGGACAGCTGTCTGAAGATGAGCAGGCAGTGTGCCCAGGTGGCCAAGAAGGCCAACAGCATCCTGGCCTGTATCAGAAATGGTGTGACCAGCAGGAGCAGGGAGGTGATCGTGTCCCTGTACTCAGCACTGCTGAGACCACACCTTGAGTCCTGTGTGCAGTTTTGGGCATGACAGGATAAGAAGGACATGGAGGTGCTGGAGCATGTCAAGAGAAGGGCAACGAGGCTGGTGAGAGGGCTGGAAAACATCCCTTATGAGGACCAGCTGAGGGAACTGGGGTTGTTTAGTCTGGAGAAGACTAAGAGGAGACCTTACTGCTCTCTACAGCTACCTAAAAGGAGGTTGTAGTGAGGCTGGTGTTGGTCTCTTCTCCCAAATTACTGATGATGGGCTGAGAGGAAGTGGCCTCAGGTTGTGTGAGGGGAGGTTTCAGTTGGATATTAGTAAGTATTTCTTCACCGAGAGAGTGGTCAGGCACTGGAACAGGCTGCCCAGGGAAGTGGTAGAGTCATCATCCCTGGAGGTGTTCAAAAACAAGTAGATCTAGTATTTGAGGCTATGGTCTAGTGGTTAGGGAAATGTTGGGAGGAAGATTGGACTTGATGATCCTAGAGGTCCCCAACCATAGTAATTCTGTGATTATTTATTTTAAAGCAAAACAAAACAACAAACAGAGGTGTCTGCTTTTCTCCCAGAGAAAAGGAAAGCCCTTCCTTGCTGCAGTGGCAGCAGCAGAGGGGAAGCCACCTCTGTTCCCTCGCTCCCCCTGCTTCACCCACTTCTCCAGCTGCTGAGCACGGCTCTTGTACTGAGGCTCTGTCTCTTCCCTCTCCACATCAGTTCTTGTAGATTTTTCAGCATCAACCACGTCAATCTGTGTTCCCTTCTCCTGATGGCTGGTACTAGAATTGTTTTGCAGGGTGGTATTTTCCCTCCAATTTGTAACCCTGAGCTTTTTAGCTTCTCAGGAGCTATTCAGCACTTCAGGAGTCAGATGTGTTTTCTGAAGTTGCACACTGAATGTTTGTGTTGCAGTATTTGTACAAATCCAGTGTGACCATAGTGGACTTTCCAGGGCCGCATCAGCAGCCTGCCAGCAAAACCAGGGACAGTTTGGATGTGGTTGCTTTAAGCAACAATATAAGTGTCATACCCTATCTCTGTATGTCATGGTGGCTTCTTATGCTGCAGATCCAGCCCGTCCATGGTGGCAGCACAAGGAGGATTTTCCTTTGGTGCAGGAAAGCTCTGAAACTCCCACCTGCTGTGGGATTAGGAAGGTGTATGCTAACCAGCTGGGGATCATTTAGCTGGACCAGGGACCATAGTTTAGGCATACGTTGCAATCCTGGTACTTTCTCAATGCATATACAGTTAATTTGCATTAAAAGTTCCTACTAGTAACAGGATAAGTTGTGTATTTTAAGAAGCATAACAAGACTGCAGCAAAATAAGGCTCTGAAAGACACCTCCATGTCATTTGTGTATAGAACATTTCAGTGCAAGAGCAATAAAAAGCTTGACAGCCTACGTTTATTTTAGTTTTTCAGTTTTAGTTGTAGACTACAGTAAGTTTTAGATAATTACATTTTCAGTAAATGAAACGTGTGTGAAGAACTCTATGATAATTACGGACAATGTATTTTAGAAATGTTATTACTTTAAGTAGATCAACAGAAATTTTACTTTTGCCTTTTCTCCAAAACCAGTTCATCTTAGTCGTAATATATTCTGAAGTACTTTATCTTTTGTTTTAGCTCTCCTCTAATCTATTTTGCCTATGAGAGGATTAATGAGATGTGAATTGTAATCTCCTTATTGATTTCCTAATTATTTTTCATAATCTAACTACAGCACATGATTTATGCTTCTCACTGATGAAAAATGCAGGAGCACCAGGAATGAATAATCTGTATGTGTACGCCCTGCAGCTGGTTGGGGTTTTAGTTTTCTGTTTTGTCACCTCCCATGTGGTCTTCTTGCCGTATCGTACGCACCACTTTTCTGTCTTTTACAATCCTCATTTACTGAATTTCTGTAAATTATCTCACTTCTCTTCGGTTCAGGATGGGAAGTAAAAATTTCACGCAACACCTCTGGCTGTTTCATTCAGTAGTCTGTGGTGACCTTTATTTCCCAGAGTACTTCCACTAAACAAGCAGCTGCCTCCTTGTCTGCGGCATCCGGGGATCTTGATCTCTTCACTGAGCAAACAACAAAATCCGAAGAGTCGGCAAAGAAACAACTCTCCAAAGACTCCATCTTATCGCTGTACGGCACAGGGACCATCCAGCAGCAGAATGCTCCAGGTGAGTCAGTTTGTGAAGTTTTCTGTAAAGTCCTTTTTTAAGCTTTACCTAGAATAGTGTCTCCTAGAATTGTAAAACTAAGGTCGCATACCCTGCTACCTACATTCAGATAAAGATTTTTAACGTTTATAAAAATGAGAAAATTACTGAATGTTCAGCTTCTGCCATCCAATTCATTGCTTAAGGTCTGAGCCTCCGCTATGCAAACCTCCTGGCAGGCTGCCAGGATCTGTGCAGAGCTGCCCCGTCGTGATTTTACCTGTGTGGAGACCTCTAATACAGTGATTAAAAGACTCTGGTTCACCACAGGGATTTGCCAAACCCTTTTTGATGGTTAGTCTCTGGTGGTGAGTCTGAGTGGAGAGTTTTAAAGCAGTTTTTTACTTTTCCCAGAAACTAAATTGGGGAAGAAAACCAAAAAAACAACTTTTGCTGAAATATTCCCTTCTCTGGTACAGGGATGTTCATGGGGTCGTCTTCTATGCCATTTACCACACAACCATCGACTCACTTTCAAGGCTTTCCAGCCATGGGAGTTCCTGTGCCTGCAGCAACTGGGATGATGGGAAACATGATGGGACAATCGGTGCCAGTCATGGGACAGAGCACAGGTGTGATGGTAGGAATGGGAATGCCAAATGGATTTACTGGTACTACACAAACTGGTGTGATGGGACTTCCTCAAAATGTCGTTGGACCTCAAGGCGGAATGGTGGGACAGATGGCCACGCCACAAAATAAGTATGGATTGCAACAAAACCAACAAGCTCAATGGAACCTCTCCCAGGTAAAGACTTGCTCTCCCCAGGCAGGGGTGCTGTAGAAAAGATGCTGCTCTTCAGATGAGGCAGTGTTTGGCTGCAGGAGGAACGTTGCGGTGTAGCCAAGTTACAGACTGCTGGACTGTGAACTGCTCAGGGGCACGTTAAAAAAATCAGTGAATAATTAAACATAACTAATACAAAAGCACAGAATAAATTTGGCCAAGATGGATCAAACTCAGTTCTCTGCCCCTGTAGCCACTCTCATCCTGGCATTTGAAGTAGCCAGGTAAAAAGCTCGTTAAGCTATACTTACAGACTACTGAAATGTAAACACAGCCTGGTGCCTAAAAGCAGGATTTAAGTGCTTGAGGATAGCTGTTAACAATGAATACAGGATGAGTTTCAGTGGAATGTATGGTGCTTTGCTCTCCAACATTTTCCTGCAGACAATTTGCTTAGGCTAATCTAGTATTTATCTCTAGTAATTTCATGCTATTTTTTAAATTTCTTTAAAGATTCTCTAGGAGTGTTAGTGTACACTTAGTGCTATATTTGTACATTATCCAATGAAACATCTTTAAATCAGCTCTTTGAGAGGTTATTGGGGGAGGGGGACACAAAGCTAAAAGATCCTCTTGCAATTTAGTGTGAATGATAGCAACTATTTTTCTTCCATAGTATTCTTTGAATTATAGAAAGATAATTCCATGCTCCTTACTCTAGTAATGCAGGAAGTGAACCTTGGTGACTTGTTTAGACTGGATTATATTAATTTTTAATATTCTGCTCAGTCTTCTGGTGTGACCATTTATGAAGGTAACCACCTTTTCTTACATAGCTGGAACAGCCCGTTTGAAAATACAGGCTGCTGTTCTGCTTTGAAAAGTAATTTTTAGAAGGTGAGAATTTAAAAACATCAGAAGAAAGAAAATCTGTGCATTTACTGCTAACAGTCTTTTTTACAGGTATCTAACTTCAGAAAGACCCTTATCAGCTTTGAAATTGAAATCACGCTTCTTACCAAATACATATTAAGAGCTGGCTCATGGAACAAGCTCATAGCTTGTTTCAGTTCTCCTTGCTCGTCAGATGCTACCAGTGTGCTGGTGCTCTGTGGCTGGTGGGGCGCCGTGAGCTCACCCCTGGCTGCGGCTGGAGCAGGGCGGGCAGCAGCTCTGCTCCAGAGGGGAGTGGCTACTGAGCAAAACATGCTCTCACCAGCTTTTCTTAATCCCCATGTTCAGTGATGCGTCACTTTTTGCAGACACACACAAGAAAGGCCACAGTACTGTATTTTACCCTGAAATAACAGTTTCTACTTTATTTAACAATTTTTTTTTTTTACCAGTGTTTCCATTTCATTTTACAACCTGGTCTTGTTTTGTGTTTACAGGAACTCTTGATTTTTACCTAATGTCAGCTCTAACTTGGATCTAATGTTGCTTACCCAGCATCCCAATTTATTGGCTCTGTGTATTAATTGCTCCAAGTGCTCTTTTGCTCTCCGACTCCGGAGAGGGGACATCTTTACTCTGCCTGTACAACTAGGTGTTTGGCTTGTCAGCAAGTGTTTGGTTTTTCAGAAGGCAAAGGAGAGTAACCTGATGAACGTTTTTATATTGAGGAGTGAACATGACAGTGGCCAAATACTTGTAGAGATTAGAAATATTTTTGCTTCATCCCTGAAGTGAAAGTGCTGAATTTTGAACCCTTTCCCACCTTGAACTAGATGTCACCTTCAATTTCATGTGAATGATTTCACTTGTTTTTAGGGAATTATGACACCTAAGAGTAGATTCTTTAGCAACAGTAGTTAGATTTAGATAATACTTAAGTTTATAAATCCATCTCATTCTTTGCTGATTGCCACCTAAATGGCCAAGGTCTATAAAACACTTGTGTATTCAAGATTTTGAGGTCTCCAAAGAAATATTGCTGGAATAAAAAAACATCTAGAGGTGCAAATGCAGACAAGGCTGTATTTGGCTTTGGTGTTCCTGATGTATAACAGTGACTGAGTTGTTCCAAAACACCTGCCACCTTGAAAAACGCTAAGAAACTTAGGAGTCCCTGTTCCTACTCAGTAAGAAATACTAATTTTCGGCAAAGGGGCTTTAAGTGGGTTGCTGGTTGGAGGCAGGGCGGACTGCCTTCTGGCTAGCAGCACGTGGTGCTTCGGCACCAGTGCTGACTGGGCTCGTGTCCCTGTGTCTGTCTGTCCGTGTGTGCTTCACAGATGAATCAGCAAATGGCCGGAATGAACCTCAGCAGTCCCAGCAACGTGATGGGCTTTGGGCAGCCCCCCAGCACGGCGGCAGGCTGGACTGGAAGCTCCTCTGGACAGACTCTCAGCACACAACTGTGGAAATGAATGCTGCAATAGAAGTCTCTCCCAGAACAGCCACCTAGCATTCCTTATTCAAATAAATTTACTTTCGCTGTTCCTTCCGTGTACATAATCTTTTTCTTTCCCCCCAGCTGTTCAGATGAAGAATATAACTGACTGACCGTGTTGTGGTCTGTATTGGTTTAAATTTGGTGTAGTGCAAAGCAGATCAAGAATACATGTGTACATCCTTGGCAGCGTTTTCATACAACTCATATGATTTCCTAGACCATGTATGTAAGAAGCTGCTTGACCACATACTGATTTTTTTCCCCTCAAAATTCTAGGATCAAATGTTTGCGTATAAGGGATGTAGCTATCATGTTAGTAATATCCAAAAATATGAACCCCGACCCTGCCAAAATTACCCAGTAATCCTGTAGAAGGTACTGTATGAACAAATGTTTAATCATATATAAATAGAATGTAAATGTATCACTGAGCAATGTTTTCTAGTGTATCAACCAAATTTTGTTTCATCATGCATTTCACTGTGATGTTATTATGGTGTGCATAGCAGGGAATATGGTTATTGAAAGAAAGATAAACCTGGATGTTACTGTAGTTCTACAAATCACTAGTTTATTCTTTTAAAAATGAGCATTTGACCCAATTGAAATTCCTGTGGTAAGATACCCGAAGATCTGGCTCGGTGAGGCACGTACACAGTATTAATGCTGGGAGGAGCAGCACAGTACGTATGCGAGGCAGCTCCATGTGAACAGACAGATCTATTTTCCCTTGCAGAGAGATCCAGGTTTATGACGTTGATTGTGTTTACATTTTATGGTGCCTCGTAATGATAAAATGTTATTTCCCTATATTAAAAGGATAAATCCAGAAAAACGATTGTGAGGTTTTATTTCGTCAGTGTACGACCTATCTGACCGCTCTTTCTTCAAGAAGTCTACTTTTAATGAAGGGAAACGTGTCCCATTTGGAGGATCCATTTATGCATATATTTAGATCAACAGTTCATGATTTAAAATCGGTTCATAATTACACCATTAAGCTGGATAAATACAAAAAGTATATACATAAGAGATGATTTTGAAAATGCTCCATGGCGACCATGTTTCGATTGTTTTTAATATGTGGAAACAGCCTTAAATCAAAGGTGAGTGTCAGTATATTAAGAGGAGAGCTCAGAAACGCATGCAAACAAGTCAAAACAAGCACACCCACTTGATCTGCTTATCAGAGTATCTGACAGTGTCCTTTTGTTTCCACAGAAGTCCATCAGATGACTTTTAAAGGGTCTCGTGCAGAAGTTGGCTGTTTTAACTGGCCGAATTCCACCTTCTGACACATCCACTGCACTATACTTCCCGTGTAACTGTGTCTCCAGGTCATACCTCAATATTGACCGTGTCCAGATGGTATTTGGGCTCATTGGCTAGATTCACTTTTTCTGTTCGTGTGTGCCATACAAGAACCTATAAAACAACACTGCTGTTAGTCCAGCCCACTACGGAGACGACACGGAAGCGTTTCAGTAACTTTATCACTAGAGGTGGTACCTTTGTGCAGTTGTTTGCCTTTGGCTCCAGTTCCTCCACTGTTGTGATCTGCTTCAGAAAATCAGATTCTTGCATTCCTGGTTGAGAACCACGACGCTTGAAAACGGCTTTTGGATGCGACAGAATCACTTGAAGACTCACAGCGAATCCTTGGAGAGAGGGAGGGGGAGGAAATGTGAAAGAAAACCTTTAGGCTTTTCAGTTTTGTACAAGTTACACTTCAGCCTAGAAATCTCCCACGATCTTTTGAAAAAATGTGTAAAGTTGATTATCTGGATAGACAGTATCTGGTAGGGTTGTACTTCCTACGTTGTTCTGGTTTTGCCCTGATAGTGCAATCACATTTTCTTTAATCAATTTCCCATCACGTAGAGAATCCAGGCTTTTTTGCCTGAAAAGTCAACTAGGATCTTGGACCAACCCTCCTTTCAACTTTTAATTAAGAAATAAATCTGAATTTTAAGGAAAATAACGTGTACAATATTTATACTGTAAAAAAATACCTAGATTTATAGGTGTGAGTCAGGTAAAAAGATTCAATATGTTACCTAGATATAACATCTGTGGTCTTTAGAGATTTTTAGCCTTCAGAAAGTTCTGACATTACTGTTGATGAAAGGCAAGTCGTGCTGTTTTGCCTTGCACGCTGTGTAGTAATTTTGTGCTTGTGAATCACTTCCATTAACGGTGGTCTGCAAGACAGTCTGCAGCTCACCATAGAATCATTAAGGCTGGAAAAGATCTCTAAGATCATCGGCTGGAAAAGAGCTCTAAGATCATCAGCTGTAAGCCCAACACTACCATGACCATGAAACCATGCCCTGAAGTGCCACGTCTACATGATTTTTTAACACCTCCAGGGATGTTGACTCCACCAGCTCCCTGGGCAGTCTGCTCCAATGCCTCACCACTCTGCCATTAAAGAAATTCTTCCTAATATCCAGCTGAAACCTCCCCTGGCACAACTTAAGCCCATTTCCTCTCGTCCTACCACTAGTTACTTCGGAGAAGAGACCATCACCCACCTCCCTACAACTTTTCTGGAGTTGTAGAGAGCAGTAAGGTCTCCCCTCAGCCTCCTCTCCTCCAGGGGAAACAACCCGTTTCCTCAGCCACTCCTCCTATGTTGGGTTGCCTGGGGTGGCTGTGACCAAAGTGCAGGAGCCGGCACTCGGCCTCGCCAAACCTCACGCAGTTGACCTGCTACAACTGTCTGCACTGCAGGGCTTGGCTGGAAGGGCTTCATCTCTGCATGCGTCTCCCTTTGCAGTCCTCCAACACATGTTAGGGCCTGCAAAGGGAGCCTGCAGACTGAGCCCTCCCTGTCTGAGCAGACTTGCCCCCTCTGGAGCAGCTCTCGCCAGTCCTCAGTTGCCACAATTTGTAGAACTCTCCAGTTTTCTCTCAGCAAGGTTCAGTTGCCTGCAGGCTTCTTTAACTATGACTCAAACCTCAACTCATAGACTTGTAAAGATTTACATTTGTGACTCCTTATGTCTAATTTCCAAGCCTACCAATGAAATTTTTTTTTTTTTTTTTTTTTTGTCAGTTCAGAGTGTTTCCAGCTGTCCCTTTATGACAGAAGTAGTAACAGTTTTGACATCCATTCTGGAAAACTACAAGAACATTTAATTGTAAAGCCAGTATTAACATTTCCTCATTTAAAAATGAGCATGACTTTCTCTAATGGAATATAAATCTGTCCCATTTTTACTAGAATTATCTTGCTGCTGTATTTTCCTTCAAAGTGTCTGCGGATTTTATGGGAGTCTTTTAAAGAGGATAATATAAGGGAGTAATTACTGCATCACATGCAAAGGCACCACACTGAAACCACTTGTATCTTAACTGTTGTCCTCTCGCTTGGAGCAAAGCTCAGGGAGACACCATTTAGTGTTTTGTTTTGTTTTGTTTTGTTTTTTTAAATAAAAATTTGGATACTGCAGATCAGGACAATGAGTTGAACGTAAACTGGGGTCCCAATTCACTCACAGACACAGCTGGAGAAAACATGTTTTAACTTCATACATTATATCCTAAGATAAAGAGTGGGTGTCTAGGTGGAAAGGGCTTACCCATGCACTGCAGAGGACCCTAGTGAGCAGAAGACTTCCAGGAGGTGTGAGACTTCAGCTGCAGCCTGTGCTCACTCTGAGCAGTTAAGCTCTGCAGAGCACAGCAGCCGTGAGCAGCAGTGCAGGGATCCAGCTGTGCTCTGCTGCAGCTGCCGGGCTTCAGCAGGCGGTGGCACTGGCAGCTGGGACGTTTCTTCCCAGGCAGGGCTTTGCCACAGCAAGCTAAGGGCCCGTCTTGCTTCCTGCATGTTGTAGCCTGGCTGTGAGGGAGCACAAGGTGAGCTCCATCCTAGTGCTGTTCGTAGCCCAGTGTCACCACTTGGGAAGAGCTGAGGTGGAGGGTTTGAAGTCCCTCAGTAAGAGGCAGCTCTGGTGCCTACAGCCAACTTTCTGCACCTTGAGAGATGACCACAGACTTGCCACTGATGAACAACTTGGCCTGGTTCAGTTCAGTGGTTTTGGTTAGGGGCTGGGGTTTCTGCACCACCATCCCCCCACCCCCAGTTAGAACAAACAATGTAAATATTTGGTGCAACTGGGCCTTAGTGTGGTTGATATTTTGGGCCCCCACCAAAAACAGTTTGCTTTGCAAGGGAAGGTATTGCTGGAGCCCTGATCAGCTGGGTGAGCTGCTGTTTCTTTTTAAAAAGACTTAATTTTAAAAAATTTAATTTTTAAGATTGAAGCCAGTCATCCATAAAGGAGAAAATGAAGTAAACACCAAAATTAATGCAAGCTCCTAGTTCTTGGAGCGGAGAAGGAATCCCATTCTCAGCAGAAGAGCCACAGATTTCCTGCGGCTTATCTCTGTGTCTCAGCCTGACTCCCTGGCCCCCACAGCCCATACTCACCCATCCCTTGGTGTCTTCTAGGTTCTCCTGCTGCAAAGCTTTGCCCGTCTGTTGAAAAATAGGATTCAGTTCTGAGGGCGGGTTTCTCCTACGCACAGCCCTTCAGATGTGCCCCTGCACGTAACACGGGTCCTGCTACCGTGCTACTGCCAACGGGCATTTCAGGTGCTACCAAAAACCCTTCGTGCTTTCAGAATAAAAAACCCTTCGTGCACCGAATAGAAGCCAGATTATTAAACTGAGTGTTGTACGTGGCAGGAACACAGACTGCTGCGCACTGACTGGCCTCAGGCCTGAGGTTTGTCTCTTTGATCAGTGGTCGTGTAGTTTTTATTTCTTAAAAGAATCCAATAAAGCAGCACCTTGAAGAGATAAAGTAATTCAAGAAGACTTATCACCTGGCCCTCTAGTTCTTCAGCTCTGCTGTGTAACTGCTTTAACTTCCCAGGTATGACATTTCCTAGTTATGCAGATAGACTCCAGATGCACTTGAGGGAAAGCCATTTTCGAATGACAACTTCCAGCTGACTTTTTATCACAGACTGATCATTTTGGCATGAAAAAGAGAGGCGATGGCTCAGGTTTTGACCAGACTGGCCCTAGTTATTTCTCCCAGTAGATTATGATCTGTGGTAATAGATAAAAAAAGACACTTATTTGGAATTCTATCCCCAATCAGGGATTAATCTGGGATTACTGTCTCCAGTGTAGCGTAACTGTAATTCTGTAGCGCAATTCTTTTATTGGTCATTATTCCTACAAGGTCATATTGGGCCTCAGTTCACATGAAATGCTACAGGGCAATTTCATAACCAGCATGTGAAGAGGTATTTGGGTTTTTCTGTGTTTAAAACAAGGCTGTAAATTAAAGCTAATTGGCTGAAGAGCCACCTAGATAAGAATTAATTTGTTAGAGGGCAAGATACCCGGGAGACATGGCAAAGATTACATCTGTACTTCCTTCCACAGAAGCTGTTTCTGTTGATTCACACCTTGACTCGCGTTAGATCAATGGTTTCTGTTAAAAGGCAGAACCATTTTTCTTCATCCAGTCAGGCAGAGCCAGACTTTAAAGATTTTGTTGCTGTGATTAACACTTTTGTTCCTGAATCCTCGAGACAGGAAGGCAGCTAAAGGCAAGCTAGGAACCGAGAGCGTTTATCATTGCTGCAGCGTGTAAATGCTAATGCTCAGTGCTGGTGCCGAAACAGATCTACAGGTTTCCACACAGTGAAGGTACTACACCTTTGCCTTGTTGAACATGCCATGACTTGGGGTCTGCTTCTTTCAAGTTCTCCCTCTGACACACTGGTTGGGCTGCCATGATGCAGAGATGCTCAAGCAAGAGTTTCTCTAGTTCAGAACGAAGGCATCTGCTAACAGGTAATTCACCATGAAAG